ACAGTGGACTGGATGAATCCATCTTGGAGGAATGTCTCCAATATTTGGAAAAGCAACTGGAAAGCAGCCAGGCTCGTAAAGCCATGGAAGAATTCTTCTCTGATAGGTGAGCTGGAGTTTGTTTTATTCAGTGAGCATTTTTTGAATGTTTCCTGAAAGCAAGGAGCTATCTATGTTGACTTAGGTATTCTTTCTCAAGGAATACTTTAAGGACTGCTTAGGTGTGCAAACAGTATCTTGGGGAGGACTTAGGTTAATGGCTGACTCCTTGAGGTTATTGATGAGGAGTTGACTTCTTGAACACCTTGTGTGTTGACTCACAAATGACCAGTTCCCCTAGAGGAGATGAGATTGTGAAGAAATAGAAATGGATATTAATGTGCTTCTTTCCTTTTTTCCTTTTCTGCCTCCCAGTGGAGAACTTGTGCAGATCATGATGGCAACAGCCAATGAGAACCTCTCTGCTAAATTCTGTAACCGAGTTTTGAAATTCTTCACCAAACTCTTCCAGCTGAGTGAGTGACAGCTTTTAGTAATCTTCTTATGGGAACTTTGATGTCTGGCTAATACTGTGCATTTCTTCTGCCCGAGTGTCGCTATAGCATTAAAATGATAACAAGTGGAGAGAATCCCTCAGAAAGTTCAGAAGGAAGTAGAAAGCTTGCTTAAAGCCTTTCCCCTTTCCTGGCTCACAATTTGCACCTTCCTTCCTTTCCCCCTGCCCTCCTTCACTGACCTTGGCCTCTCCGTCTGTCCCCAGCTGAGAAGAGCCCTAACCCGAGTCTTCTGCACCTCTGTGGCTCTCTGGCACAGCTGGCCTGCGTGGAGCCTGTGCGTCTCCAGGCCTGGCTCACCCGCATGACCACATCGCCTCCCAAAGATTCTGATCAGCTGGATATGATTCAGGAGAACCGGCAGCTGTTGCAGTTACTGACTACATACATTGTTCGGGAAAACAGGTAGAACAATTGCATTTTTGTAACGTAGCCGTAACGACTCCAGAAATATGTTGAGAAATTTTGCAGTGATCTTTTTTTCACGCATCAGCCAGTATTTTCAGTGACTCCAAAGCTCCCTTCACTAGAGTTAAGGAATCTAGTAGAGCTCCTTGCTTTTAGTCATGGAAAAACTTTTGCAATGACTTGACCTGTTGGTTGTGACATAGGTGAAAGTTTTCTGCTCTAGGAGCCCAAGTCCAAAGTATATACAGTCATGCACTTAATGTTTAATTTAAGACTTTCCTTAATTACTCTTACGAATTCAGAGGTAGATGGAGTCAGATTCCTGTTGATTACTCACCGATTTGTTGTTTCTTCCTCCCAGCCAAGTTGGAGAAGGTGTGTGTGCTGTGCTTCTGGGTACCCTGATCCCCATGGCAACAGAGATGCTGGCCAATGGTGATGGAACTGGTTTCCCCGAACTCATGGTTGTGATGGCCACCCTGGCCAGTGCAGGTCAAGGTGCTGGGCATCTTCAGCTTCATAATGCTGCTGTGGACTGGCTAAGTAGATGGTAAGGTGATGAAATTGGAGGAACCCATCCATACGTTACAACACTGCTTGCTCTTAGATAAAAGGGGATAACTAATTGTAGGTTATTTTCTTTGTAGCTCAGAATGAGTATAAAAGAAACTTGAATCCCTGCCCCCTCCCCCCTTTTTTTGTTAATCCTCATCTAAGGCTATTTTTCCCATTGATTTTTAGAGATAATGGAATGTGGGGGGAGGTTGCAGAGAGAGAAACATTGGTGTCAACACATCTATTGGTTGCCTTCCTCATGCACCCCGATTGGGGCCGGGGATCAAACTTGCAACCCAGGTACGTGCTCTTGACCAGGAATT